CCTTTTCCCCCCCCCCCCCCCCCCCCGGAGGGGGCCCGCCCGGCCCATCCGTCCGCTCCGGCCCCCCCCCGCCTCCACCCTTTACTCCCCTCAGAGGACACCGCTGGAACTGATCTGAGCTTCAAAGGCATCAAAGACAGTGATTAAAGTTGACTCACGTCCAGAACAATTTTAACAAATGAATCGTCCAATTATTCTGATCAAACTCACCAGTGAAAACACGGACGTCGTCGTCGTCGTCGTCGTCCGTTCCAAACAAGAAAGAATTAAAACAAATAATTAGCAACGAAAAAATAAATGACTTAAATTACACTCATCAACAAACACAAAATAAACACTTTAACAAAAGAACTGAATATATTATAAACACATTTTCAAAAAGCCAAAATATCTGATTAAAATGGTAAAAAAAAAAAATCTCGAAAGTTGACTTTTTATTGTAATTATTGTTTTGTTGTTTTTTTTTTATTATTATTTATTTATTTGCTCCAAGTACAGTCATTCCCAGGATTCCCTGTAGAGGGCGCCTGGAGCAGTTAAAAATGACAAATGTTCAAAAATATTTGATCATAAAATCTAAAAATCTGGGCCTAAAAGAACCAGGAGATATAAATACAGGTATCTGTGTGTGTGTGTGTTTAAGATTAGGTTTGAAGTTAGGATTAAAATTAGGTTCAAATTCAGGATTAAGACTTGGATTAAACACAGACTGTGTCTGTTGTTACAGTGAAGGATTCAACTGTTGGGGCGGGGAACGAGTTCAGGACTCATAACACACAAAGACCAGTGTGTGTGTGTGTGTGTGTGTGTGTGTGATCACATGTAGCTCTGACATGAGGACCGGTGGGAAGTCAGTCTGGTCACAGCGTCAGTGATGAAGATGAAGATGATGATGATGAAGACGACGGAGGAGATCCTGCAGTGAGGTCAGCCCAGCGCTCTCTCCTCCATCACCGTCCTTCACCTCAGTCCCTCTGAGGACGACGTCCACAAACAAAGCTCTCTCTCTCTCTCTCTCTCCTTCTGTCCTCCTTCTCTCAGATTCCTGTCATTTGCT